TAGTAGTAGTAGTAGTAGTAGTAGTCGTAGCAGTGGTTGTAGTAGTAGTAGTAGTAGTTGTAGTAGTAGTAGTAGTAGTAGTAGTCGTAGTAGCAGTAGCAGTAGCAGTAGGAGTGACAGTAGTAGTTGTAGTCGTAATAGTAGTCGTGGTAGTAGTAGTAGAAGTAGTAGTAGAAGAAGTATTAGTTGTAGTAGCAGTAGTAGTAGTAGCAGTAGTAGTAGTAGTAGTACTAGTAGTAGTAGTAGGAGTAATAGTAGTAGTGGTAGTAGTAGTAGTAGTAGTAGTAGTAGCAAGTAGTAGTAGTAGTAGTAGTAGTAGTGGTAGTAGTAGTAGTAGTAGTAGTAGTAGTAGTAGTAGTAGTAGTAGTAGTAGTAGTAGTAGTAGTAGTAGTAGTAGTAGTAGTAGTAGTAGTAGTAGTAGTAGTAGTAGTAGTAGTAGTAGTAGTAGTAGTAGTAGTAGTAGTAGTAGTAGTAGTAGTAGTAGTAGTAGCAGTAGTAGTAGTAGTAGTCGTAGTAGTAGTGTAGTAGTAGTAGTAGTAGTAGTAGTAGTATAGTAGTAGTAGTAGTAGTAGTAGTAGTAGTAGTAGTAGTAGTAGTAGTAGTAGTAGCCGTGGTAGTCGTACTCATAGTAGTAGTAGTAGTAGTAGTAGCAGTAGTACCAGTAGTAGGAGGAGTAGTAGTAGTAGTAGCAATGATACTAGTAGTAGTAGTAGTAGTAGTAGTAGTAGTAATACTGGTAGTTGTAGTCGTAATAGTCGTCGTGGTAGTAGAAGTAGTAGTAGTAGAAGAAGTATTAGTAGTAGTAGTAGTAGCAGTAGTAGTAGTAGTAGTAGTAGTAGTAGTATAGTAGTAGTAGTAGTAGTAGTAGTAGTAGTAGTAACTAGTAGTATAGTAGGAGTAATAGTAGTAGTGGTAGTAGTAGTAGTAGTAGTAGCAATGATACTAGTAGTAGTAGTAGTAGTAGTAGTAGTAGTAGTATTAGTTAGTAGTAGAGTAGTAGTGGTAGTTAGTAGTAGTAGTAGTATAATAGTAGTAGTATAGCCGTGTTAGTCGTACTCATTGTAGTAGTAGTAGTAGTAGTAGTAGTAGTAGTAGCAGTAGTACCAGTAGTAGGAGTAGTAGTAGTAGTAGTAGTAGCAATGATACTAGTAGTAGTAGTAGTAGTAGTAGTAGTAGTAGTAGTAGCAGTAGTAGTAGTAGTAGTAGTAGTAGTAGTAGTAGTAGTAGTCGTAGTAGTAGTGGTAGTCGCTGTAGTAGTCGTAGTAGTAGTAGCAGGTAGTAGTAGTAGTAGTAGTAGTAGTAGTAGTAGTAGTAGTAGTAGTAGCCGTGGTAGTCGTACTCATAGTCGTAGTAATAGTAGTAGTAGTAGTAGTAGTCGTAGTAATAGTAGTACTAGTAGTAGTAATAATAATAATAATAATAATACCATGTGTGGTAGTAGTCAACGTGTGAAGATAGCAACTTCGATTCGCAACTTTCCCGTGCGATAATACAGCTCGGCCTGGCCGCCCCTCTCCGCCGACCAACTCTGTCTTGGCAGGAGATACTTCACTCTCAATCGTGAAGGGGGGGTGATTTATAAACCTGGGGGCATGAGGTGTCTGCAACCCCCGGACCTGGAACGGGCCCCTGAACGTCCGATTGATCGGGGAGCAGCCCTCCCGATGTTCGTGACCGAGGAAGTCTGCGTGACCCCCCGTCCCCCTGCCCAGACCCGCGGCCGGCCAGAGTAGCTCTCGCCGGAGGGCCACGTCATCTCGCCGCTGCCCCTGCGGGGCGGAGGGTCGCGGGTGCAGCGGCGGCCGCGGGCGGGGCAGGCAGGCGACGTCTTCTGCGCGCCAGTCTCACCTCTCTCGGGGAGTCGTGGGACTCGAGTTTGGGGGACTCGAGCTGGACCTGACGGGGCCGCCAGAAAAAATACGGGGCCCAGTCTGGAATTTGTCGCGAACTTCCACCGCAACCAGCTCATGAATTCCGATTCGTCAGAGGTCAGGCCGGGGCCGTCAAGAGCAGGGCGAGAAACCCGAGTCCTGGCCAACTGGAGCCTTGCATGCGCTTCCCCGACTCTTGCACGCGCACTGGGAACATGTCCAAACGTCGTGCCGCATACGCCCCACCAGCATAGCAAATACGCACGATAGAGAACACATTACTATACTTAAGTCGGGCCGGTCCCCCTACAGGAGGATTTTGGGCGAAACATAAAACATACCCAGACAATACCCCCCGAATCGGCAAACATAGTCGAACAATCGTCCCCGGACTATCTTTTGGCTATTTTTGAAATTCCCCCCTGTAGAGGGACGTGCCCGACTTCAGAACAGCAGATACGCACGATAGAGAGCGCACTGCTGGAGGAGGAGGAGGCGGAGGAGGAGGAGGAGGAGGAGGAGGAGGAGGAGGAGGAGGAGGAGGAGGAGGAGGAGATGAGGATGAGGAGGATGAGGAGGAATGGAGGAGAGAGAGGAGGAGGAGGAGGAGGAATAGGAGGAGGAGGAGGAGGAGGAGGAGGAGGAGGAGGAGGAGGAGGAGGAATCTGTACGCCGTGAGAAACTTCCAGGGCGCAGCCTTCCTCGACCGTGCGCGGCGCAGGAGGGCTCCCCGAGGGCCCCCCGGGCCCCCCTCGGGGCACGACGCTTCCCCGCGGGCCTCCGGCCGGCGGGCAAGCTTCCGATGTGGTGTGCGTGCTGTACGGGGCAGTTTTTTGAACACATCGGATTTTTTTCTTTATATATATATATATATGAGTTTGAAATACATGATTGATGTGTGAATAAATGTATGGATGAACTCATCATTGTTTTTAGCACTAAATCCCTGCATTTTTCATACATGATCCGCACGCGGAGCATGTATTAAAAACGGCACTGCACGGTCAACCAGTACAGTAAGGATGCGCGATGAGGATGCAAGGGCCTTGGACGCCCATTTCGAGGCTTTCCGAGCGGGGCGCGGCCAGCGAAAGCGGCGAAGGATGGACCGAGGAGGCAAGGATGCAAGGGTACCCTTGGGAAGGTTGCCCATCCTTACTATGCGGGTTGACTGTACTCAGACTGGCTCAGCCGAGTCGCATAAGAGACACGACACGAAACGTCAGCCCGATACCGAACAGACTGCATCGTCCTGTGAGCGTTTTTTGATTCGGCGTTTCGACATTGGGCGGCAAGGGGGGGGGGGGGGAGTCTGGCTCCGGACCTCTGCTTGCTGCGACTGTTTGCAGCAGTGCGGCCGATGGGGGAGGGGCCTCACCTGCTCGAAACAGGCGCCCCAAACAGCCAAGATCTACTCCATGGGGTGGGGGGGAGGGGGGGGGTTGGGGGGCCCGCGCCGATCGGCAAAGCAATGAATAAGAAAACGATCACCTTGCGCTCACCGTCCGCTTCGACTGCCTTAGCATGATCGGGTCGCGGGCCAAGCCTGCTGCCCTGACCCCCAGTGGCCCGAGGCCATCGGGACGCCTGGTTCTCTCGACCCCCTTTCCGAGGCCCCGGGGCCACATCCTCCTCGAGCTCCTCGAGCTCCTCCTCCTCGTCCTCCTCTTGCCTCGTTTCCTTCTCCTCCTCCTCCTCCCGAGGCTGGTGGCTGCCCTGTCAATGAGAACTGACGCCAGTGGGTGATCCCCCCCCCCTCCTCCGGCCTTCGCCGGGGTGGGTGGGTGGGCGGAAAGCAGCTCTCGGGTGAGAGCGGGCCTAGACGGGGAGAGGAGACAGCACGGCGGAGACGACGGAGGGAGATCTTTTCCTGGTGTCGACCAGTCCCGCCCGAAGCCCAAGATGCGGGAGGGGGCTCCTCCTCCTCATCCTCCTCTTCCTCCTTCTCTTCCTCCTCCTCCTCCTCCTTCAGGAGGAGGAAGAGGAGGAGGATGTTTTGTGCTCCCTCTGTGGACGCCGAGCGTGCCAGCTGGAGGAGGAGGATGAGGAGGGCAGGAGGAGGATGAGGAGGAGCAGGAGGAGGAGGAGGAGGAGGAGGAGGAGGGAAGAGGATGTAGAGGACGTCTCTTGCGGTTTCCGCTGGTTTTCGGCGATTTCTGGCGGCTTTCAATGGTTTGCGGGGGAAGGGGGTCGAAGGTTTGCGGACGCTTGCAACAGCTTGCGGGGGGGGGGGCCAGGCGGGATAGAGGTGATCAGGTCTTGGGCAGGCAGGTAGTGGGGGCCCAGGACGAGGAGTGAGGTCATAGAAACACCGGCGGCGAGAATGGAGGCGACCATCGTGACGACGACGTCAACGGCGCCAACGAGGATGCGAGTCACGCCAAGTCTCAAGACGGCCCCGAGACCTGCACGAGATGGGCCCCGAGACACCCACCCCCAGCGGCCCTGCCAGGACAGCCAAGACACTCCCAGCGGCCCCGATACTTCTAGAGGCGGAGTGGAGGTGCCCGGCGGCGGGGCCGAAGCCAGCTGCATGCAGCAGGTTTCGTAGCCCCCCCTCTCGTCCAACCCGACGCTGTACCCCGAGCCACAGCGTCCCTCCTCACGACCAGAGGCGGCGGTGCGCGTGGCGGCGGCATGGCAGGAGCGGAAGGGCAGGAAGGGCAGCCATGAATCGAGCAATTCGACAGATCCGCCTCCTTCCTCCTCCGTTACACCCCCCCCTTCTTTGGTTGTTTTCCGTTCTAGGGGGGGGGGGGGACGAGCGAGGCGGATCTTCATGGATCCCCTCCTCCAAGCAGCAAGAGGATCAGGAGGAGCACGTCGCGAAGCAGGCCCCACGTCAAGCGCAAGCGAGGAAGCCGCTGCAACCGAAGCTGGAGGTCAATCACCTTGCACCAGCACGTGCGTTTCGAATTAAAACTGGGGAAGCCAAAAGGTACCGATACCGCTACTCCCCGGACCTCTCCCGGGGTGCGTTCCGACCAGAATTTCGAGGCGAATCCAGCGGTGGCGACGAGGGCCTCCCAGGAAGCCCGAAAAAGGGGAAAACGAGGGATGGGCAGGGGTATGGGTACCTCATCCTCCTCCGAGAAACTCAGAGGCCGCCGGGGCGTCTGGCGGTGCGACTCACCGGATGCGCTCGGTGTGCGCGTAGCAGAAGGGGCTCTCATGGGCGGCGCACATGGCGAACAGGCCGCTCTGCAGCACCAGGTCGTCCAGGCCTCGGCACGCCGAGTGAGGCTCCTCCTCCTCCTCCTCCTCCTCCTCCTCCTCCTCCTCCTCCTCCTCCCCCTCCTCACGACACGACACGCCGTGGGGGGGGCAGAAAATGAAAGGAGAGGTTGAAGTTAGGTTGGGCATGTCCCCCCTACAGGCGGATTTGGGACGAAAAGCACAAACTTGTAAAACAATGCCCCAAAGTAGTCAAACAGTGCTCAAAACATCGTCCCCAGATTGTTGTTTTACCTTTTTTGGATATTCCTCCTGTAGAGGGACAGGCCCGACTGAAGGTTAGGAGGGAGGGGGGACCGAGGAGGAAGGCAGAGGGCACCGGATGGAAGAGAAAGGACAGAAGGCACCCGAGCGGGGCGGGAGCGAGTGGATGCACTACCTCGTCCGTCCCTTGGAGGTGCTCGGGGAGCCAAGACACCTCCAATAATCTCCGAGAACCATCAGCAGACGAGAATTCCCGAAGACGTCCGAAACCCACCGACAAGCAGCGACACCTTACAAGAGCTCCGCATCCCCCCCCCCTCCTCCTCTTCCCCTGCTGCGACTCTCCTTCTCCGCCTCCTCCTCCTCCTCCTCCTCCTCCTCCTCTCTATCCTCGTTCCTCTCAACCTTCTCCTCCCGACCCTTGCCTAATTTCTCTTTCTCTGGCTCCTCCTCATCCCCTCCTACTGTATATAATGGTGCACGCGATCTATCGAAGAGCTACCCCGGCCAACCCTCCAGCACACCCTCCGGCCAATCCTGAAGCCCGCCCCCTGCCAAACTCGGAAAACCCTCCCGGCTGCCCATCTTCTCCTCATCTGGCTGGCCCTCGTCTTCCCCGACCTCCTCCTCCTCCTCCTCCTCCTCCTCCTCCTCCTCCTCCTCTTCCTCCTCCCCCTCCCTCGTCCGCCTCCTCTCCCCTCCGTCCGCCTTCCTCATCCTCCTCCCCGGGCCTCCCTCCCTCCTGGGCCTCCTCCCTCCCGCCCCGCCCTCCCCCCTCCCCCCTCCTCCTCCTCCTCCTCCTCCTCCTCCTCCTCCTCCTCCTCCTCTCCTCCTCCTCCTTTTCCTCCTCCTCCTCCTCTTCCTCCTCATCCTTCGTTCCTTCTCCTCCCCCCCCTCCTTCTCCTCCCCCCCCTCCTCTCCTTCAAAATGGGCACCTGGACCTGGACCACAGTCTGACTAGGATTCTGAGGCGGACTTCGCCGTGGCGACCAGGACCCCCCACGGCGGCCCCAGATGCCAAACATGCTTGACAAGAAAACATCCTGGAGGAGGGAAGCTCTCCTCCTCCCAACAGTACGCCCGAGTGGCGCAGTGGACCCAGCTCGGCCACCGCACAGGAGAGGGCTTCCCAGCTTCTCAACTGATGGGAGAGGGACTACACAGCCTCGTTCGACATCGCCGTTCAAGGGTGGGGGGGTCCCCGCATAGCTGAGCAGCGCCTTCCAGCGTCCCGATGTTGTGAAGATGTCTCAGGCGACCTCCCCCCTCATCCACACCATGTTGGATGTCCGACGTCTGATCTCCAACACATAACTGTCCGATGATGTATCAGGCGATAACTTCATTGTCGAAAACCAACGTCGCCAAACAGCTCATCCGACATCCCCATTATGTGAGGATGTCTCAAACGAAACGATCCCGCCACACCATGTTGGATATCCGACGCCCGATCTCCACCATCCCAATTGTCTGAGGATGTCTCAGGCGTAAGCTTTATTTTGAGAACCCCAGCGTCCCCATTGTGCGAGGATATCTCAAGCGAAACGCTCCTCCCCCGCCACTACCCGACGTCTGATTTCCAACATTCCATTTTCTGAGATGTCTCAGGCGAGAGCTTCATTGTAAAACAGTCAGGGTAATTCGCCGGCCCAACGGGCCAAGGGCGTGCTAAGATCTCTGGTAACTGGTTAACAATATTCTAGTTCGCGCGCGCGGGGCCGCCCATGGGGGTCCCTGGACGACAAGTACCCCAGGAGACCCCCGGGACACCCCCGGGACACTCGGATCAGAGATGCCGGACTGGGCAATTTTTCGACACCCCTCACGAGGATCGTGGCCTCCGAGGGGAGGGGCGCAATCGACTACCCTCCTCCTGACCCAAGAGGTCCCCAAGACTGCCCAAGAGGCCCCCGAGACGCCCAAAGAGTGCTCCAAGACGCCGATGATGACCCCAAGACGGCACAAGAGGCCTCCAAGTGGCCTCCAAAAGCCCTCACAAGAGGGCCCGAGAGGCCAAAATTAAAAATTTACGATGGTTTTGGAAGGATTTTGGCCTCGCCGCCTTTTCGGCCATCTGATGCTCCAAGACGGCACAAGAGGCTCCCAAGAGCGCCCCAAGACGGGCCAAGAGGCTTCCAAGAGGGCCCCAAGAGGGCCCAAGAGGGCCCCGAGACGGCCCAAGAGGCGCCCAAGACGGCCCAAGACGGCCCCAAGACGGCCCCAAGAAGGCCCCAGAGGGGGAACCACGAACCGAAAACTCGAGCCTTCCGCCCCAAGAGGGCCCTAGGAGGCCCCAAGAGGCCCCCAAGAGGCCCCCAAGAGGCCCCAAGATGCCGCCAAGAGGCCCCCAAGAGGCACCAGGAGGCCCCCAAGAGGCCCAAAAGAGACCCCAAAAGGCACCAGAAGTTCCCCCAAAAATGCCTCGCAGGCGCCCCCGAACGGCTTTTCAAAAGACCCCAAGAGGCCTCCCAAAGAAGCATCTTGACGACGACCCTGTTTGGCCCCAAGAGCAACACAAGATGTCAACGAGAGGCTTCCTCCTCCGCCCCTTCCCCTTCCTCCTCCTCCTCCTCCTCCTCCTCCTCCTCCTACTTATCTTCATCCTCCTCCTCTCCTGCTCCTCCCCTCCTCTTCCCCATCCTCATCTTCCTCCTCCTCGGCGGCGCCACAATGGCACCGGGCCCACGGCGAAGCAATAGCGATCATGCAACATGGGCCGGCGGAATGAGCGACGCGATCGAATAAAATATCTCCTCCCACATCCCCATCCGTTTTTGACTGATGAGCCGCATAGCACTTTAGAAATTAGAGCTCAGGCTGTCCGAAGGAACAGCATGTTCAAAGACACGGCCCGAGGCCATGAAGAAAAACTGCGCCGAAGGGGCTGCGCGCCGGACGAAGCGCCGCCGAAAGCTCGGCGCGGTTCAAGACGAGCGACGGGGGCCTCCCTCAGTCTCAGCGTCTCCCCGCCAAGGCGGATGCCATCACGCTTGCGCGTACCGTCCGCTGGCGTCGCCAGTGCCGCTGCTCATCATCACCAGGGCCCGAAGAACCCGTTGTTGTTCGCGAGCACCGACCCGAAGAAGAGGATGGTCATGGAGATCACGTAGGTGCTCTCGCTCACGCCTCCCAGGCTGAAGCCCGCGGGCGGCGGAGGGGTGGTCGTCACCGGCTCCCCGCCGAAGAACTGCACCTCCACCGAGGGGGCGCGCTGGCCCGCCCGGAGCCCCGCCGGGGAGGCGCCGACGAAGGACAGCGCGGTGGAGCCCACCAGCAGGGCCGCGCAGGCGGCGACAGCGCAGGCGACGAGCAGGGACGCGGAGCGGGCCATCGCGAGGCCTGCCGGTGCGTGCGGGGCGACTCCACGAGAGCGATCGACGCCCTTCAATCAAAAAGGCTTGAGCCACAATGGCGACGGACCTCCCACATCTCCATGCTGCTGGATGTCCGACACCCCCGTGGACACGCGAAGCACGTGCTGCGCGCGCACGCCCCCCTCCGCGCATGCGTTTGACGCGTAACGAGTCCGACGCTAGCAAGTGGGGTACCCCCCTGGGGGCGTCGCCAGGAACATGTGGGAACACGTGCCGAAGCAGGCCCTAAGCCCTTACCTGGAAAACTTCTCCTCCAGCATCCGCATTTTGTGAGGATGTCTCACCCGAAACGCGCCCTCCCCACCCCACTACCACACCCACCATGTTGGATGTCCGACGCCCGACTTCCAACATTTCAATTATCTGATGATGCCTCACGCGAAAGCTTTATTTTTGAAAGGCAACGTCGCCAATCAACTCATCCGACATCCCCATTATGTGAGGATGTCTCAAACGAAACGCTCCCCCCACACCATGTTGGGTATCTGGCCCTAAGCCCTTACTAGGAACACTTCTCCTCCAACAATCCGATTTTGTGATGATGTCTCAAGAAATCGCCCAACCCACACCGTGTTGGATATCCGACGCCCGATCTCCAGCATCGCAATGTCCTGAGGATGTCTCACATGAAAACTTCACTGTTGAGAACCAACTTCGTAAAACAAATCCTCGAACAACCCCACGTTGTGAGGATGTCTCAGGCGAAACGCCTCTCCCATACCATGTTGGATATCCGACGCCCAGTCTCCAACAACTCCTCATGTTCTGAGAATGTCTCGAACGAAGGCTTCACGCTTGAGAACCAACGTCGACCCACAACCCCTTCCAACATCCCCATGTTGTGAGGATGTCTCCAGAGAAACGCCCACCCCCCCCCCCTCCCCCCTCTCACCCTCCCCCCCCACACACAAGAACACACACAGACAGACACACACACACACAAACACGCACGCACACACACACGCACGCACGCACGCACGCACGCACGCACGCACGCACGCACACACACACACACACGCACACACGCACAGACACAGCACACACAGACACAGACACAGACACAGACACAGACACAGACACACGCACGCACGCACACACACACACGCACACACACAATATCTCTCTCTCTCTCTATCTCACACACAACGCACACACACACACGCACGCACGCACGCACACACGCACACATACCCCACACACCCGCACACCCACACACCCACACACACCACACACCCACCCACACCCACCCACACCCACAACCCACACCCACAACCCACACCCACACCCACACCCACACCCACACACAAACACACACACACACCGCACAACGCACAAACACACACACATACACCACACGCGCGCGCACGCACATGCACACACACACACACGCACGCACACACACACACACACACACGCACGCACGCACGCACGCACGCACACACATTCACACACACACACACGCACGCACGCACGCACGCCCGCACGCACGCACGCACGCACGCACGCATGCACACACAGACACGCAGACACACACACACAGACACACAGACAGACAGGCACACACACGCACGCACGCACACGCAACACGCAACACTTACACGCACGCACGCACACGCAACACGCAACACGCACACGCACACGCACACTCGCACTCAAACGCACGCACAAACGCACAGGGACAAGCGCAGGCACAGGCACACGCACACGCAAACGCACCTGCACCTGCACCTGCACCTTCACCTGCACCTGCACCTGCACCTGCACGTACACGTACACGTACACGCACACGCACACGTACACGCACACGCACACGCACACGTACACGTGCACGTACACGTACACGTACACGTACACGTACACCTACACCTACACGTGCACGTACACCTACACCTGCGCCTGCACCTGCACCTGCACCTACACCTACACACATCAGATTGGATTTCCGACGTCTGATCTCCACCATCTCATGTTCTGAGGCTGTCGCAATCGAAAGTATCATTGTTGGACAGCAGCGTCGTAAACAAACTCTTCCCAAATCAGAATTTTGTGAGGATGTCTCAAACAAAACGCTTCCCCCACACCATGTTGGGCGAGGGTTGGGCCTTTGGTGAACTGCCCAATGCGGCGGCGACGGGTCCGTCGTGGACAGATGCGCAAACACGATCTGTCGCCGTACGGACCATTTGCGAAATTAATGATATTAATCGTGCGATGTGCGATGGGCGCGCCTACGTAGAAACATGGAGTATAAAAAGGCACGTTTAAAATAGCTTGTGAACGGGGCCGCCCGAGAAAAATAACAACAGCGAAAAGTACAAACAACATATCGCAAATTTCCGCACCCTGCCTCAGCGGCGCGCAACAGCCCCTGGGTCGCTCGGCCCCGTCGTCTGGCCCCTTGGCCCCTTCCCTGGCTGGTTTCGCTTGCTCTGACTTGCTTTCGCTTGTCCGTCGGTCGCACTGGCCGCGCCTGACCCCTCGGATGGCCCTCGGTCTCTCGGCCCCTCGGCTGGCTCCTTTCCTGGCTGGTTTTGGCTGTTTTTGCTTGCTTTCGCTTGTCCGTCGGTTGCACTGGTCGCCCCAGGCTCGCCGGCCGCCCCTCGGTCGCTCGGCTCCTCGGCTGGCCCCTTCCCTGGCTGGAATTAGTTGTGTGGGTTTGTGTTCGCTTGTCCGTGGAGCTCCCTATGAGGCCACGAAGCGCTGTACTGGGTGGAGGAAAGCATGCGGACACCGCCGCGGGGGCCTTCGGTGGAGCTCCCTATGGGGCGACGAAAAGTATGAGGGGTGTGCCGAAGTCAAGGGGGGGCGGCATGCGAACCGTGCTACCGGGGCCTTCGGTGGAGCTCCCGATGGGGCCACGAAACGTGTGAAGGGTGTGCCAAAGTGGAGGGGGGGGCGGCATGCGAACCGTGCTACTGGGGCCTTCGGTGAAGCTCCCTGTTGGGCCACGAAGCGTGTGGAGGGCGTGGTGGCCAGGAAGAGGAGCGAGGCCCCTCGCCGCTCTGCAGCACTGCTGGACAGTGAAGTGCTCTCCTTCACCTCCGCTCCTCCGCGAGGCTGCCCTGCAGCCTTGCTGGGGGCCCCGTGGGCCTGAGCCCCGGGGGGTTCGTTCGGGTCCGCGGCGCTTTCCCGGCCCTCGGCCCCGAGTGACCCCAGGGGTCAACTCATGCTTTGAGCCTCAGGGAACCGCGTGACCGAAACCTCTGGCGTCTGGGCGCCGTGGCAGAAAACATGGTGGGCGGTGCTGCTCCGGCCAGGGCCTCGGGACCGTCACGGATCAACACGGATCTACGGGCTAGATCTTTCCAGCGTCGCGCTTTTTTTTTCAATACCTCGATTGTGCGTGGAGCGGAAGATGCAATCCAATCTCACTGTGGGCAATCACATATATTTGCTCCAGCTGGCTGGGAATTATGTCGCGTGCACTCGGGCCTGTGGAGCTGCTGCAATTGGGGAGATGCCGATCTAACTAAGCCTGGCACCGTGGGGAAGGAAGGAGGAGGGCAGTGCGAGAAATGCGGTGAATAGCCGGAGGCAAGCAGGTGAATGGCATGCAAGGCATTCGGCAATAACGCACGGGTACGCTGTCAACTGCTTCGGCTCACCTCACCTCGACGAGCCAGGCAGCAGGGAGGCGCATGCTGGGCTGAGCCACTTGACGATGTTGAGGTGTACCGCATCCGCCTGCCAAAGCTAACTGCGCCACACCAGCGCGCGCCCAGTGCCAGACAGCAGGGCAGAGCGCCCGGTGCAGGACCGGCCGCCGCCGCCTGGCTGACGCACCGATGAGGCCGGCGCGAACTGCGGCGTGGCCACGCGCCTGTGGTCCGGCGAGCCCCACAGCAACAGCTCCGGGGTGCCGGAGGCGCTCCGGCGGAGCGGGTGGTCGAACGGATCCTTCGCGCCCGGCAGCGGCACTGCGCGGTTCTCGCTGCTGCAGCCTGCCTCCGCGCGCCCCTGCGCTGCCGGCGGGCAGGACGCGCCCCGCCCGGCCGCCGCCGCCGCGTGGCCGCTGCCGTCGAGGTCAGGCTCCTGGTGGGCTGCCGCGCTCTGCTCTGGGGGCCCAAAGGATGTGCACCACCACCACGTCGATGCCTCCCCTCTCCTCTGCCCTCCTCCTCCTTCTCCTCCTCCTCCTCCTCCTCCTCCTCCTCCTCCTCCTCCTCCTCCTCCTCCTCTCCTCTTTCCTGGGAAAGTGCACCACCACCACGTCGAGGCCTCCTCTCTCCTCTGCCCTCCTCCTCCTTCTCCTCCTCCTCCTCCTCCTCCTCCTCCTCCTCCTCCTCCTCCTCTCCTCTTTCCTGGGAAAGGAAGGGGGTGAGGGCGGTGGTGGTGGTGGTGGTGTATCTTTTTGGGCCCCCCATGCTTGACCAGCAGGTCCAGCGTGTCCTCGGGGCCCGCTGGGCAGCGCGAGCCGCTGCGCGACCTGGCCTGCCCCGGCCGTCCCGCCCCGCGGCCTTGCGTGCGCCCTTCGGCCGCGGGCCCGGCGGCGGGCTGCGGGCTGGCGCTGCCTCCGGCGGGGGACGCCCCTCGCCCCGCCGCCGACGCCCGCCGGCCCCTCGCGGAGCGGCTGCCGCTGCGGGGGCCCATCCTGTCCAGGCAGGCCTCCGCCTCGGCCGAGGGCGCCCGCGCGCCTGCCGCGGCCTCCGCAGGAGCGCCTCCCGCGGCGCCGCCCGGCGTGCGCACGCTCCCGGCGGCCCAGTCGGCGGTGCAGCCGAGGGGGCCGAAGGCGCTGAGCTGGGAGAGCTCCGCGAGGCCCTGGCTGCCGAGCGTGGTCGGCCCCCGGCTGTGGGTGAACATGAGGCTGCTGGCCTGGCTCCCCGTGTCTGCCAGCGGCCGCGGGGTCAGCCCCGCCATGCGGGCTCACGGGAGGGGGGCGAGGGGCGTCGGGGATGGCCAGGGCCCCCGCGGGCAAGCCGTGGTCTCGTGAACACGGCCTCGGGCCCAGACCTGGCGGGCGCAGGCCTGGAAGACGACGGCAGCGGCGCCCTCTCGAGAACGGAGAGCGGACACGTCACCAGTCGACGCGTCGGGGTGGGGGTCCTGTCCACCCCCGAAGGAGGCGGGGAGCGGCGGGGGAGGGGGGGGGGAAGGCCTGATCCGTCGGCTGTGTACGGGGGGCAGCGCGGGAATGCAGGAGGGGAGCAGCACCGGGGGGGGGGCAGCACGAGGGAGACGAGGAGGAGGTGAGGGACAGGGCCGACCGAGTCGCACCCCTCGGCTCGAGCTCGGTGATGGCAGGATGCCCGGGCCACTCGGGTTTGAGGCGCGGTGTTGCAGGTCGTGTTCGGATCTCCGGGGGCCTTGGACGAATACGCTGTGGTTGCGCACGTTGAGGGCCTAAGGCTCGCCATGTTGCAGGTTCAGGTGCCCCAACTGTTGTTACCAGATGAAGAGAACTCGCCCCCTGTAAGAAAGCATACGTCGCCCCACCATCAACAAGACAACACCAGGCCAATCAACACAACCTGATCACTCATCGTACTGATGCGTACCACATGCACCCCGCTATCTGAATCAGAGTCAGCAAACTCCGAAGGCGAGCGCGACCTAGACATACGTACCTGAGGCCTGCTTCCACTAACTCAATACCCGTATCCGCGACACGGGGGAGCAAATTCGCCGGCCCAACGGGCCAGAGGCGTGCTAAGATCTCCGGTAACTACTTAACAATATTCCTAGTTCGCGCGCGCGGGGCGGCCCCTGGGGGCCCCCGGACGAAAAAAAACTCGGCCGATCCCCAGCCGGGTCCCAGGCGATCCCCAGGGGGGAGGCTATTTTTCGCCACCCCTCACGAGGATCGTGGCCTCCGAGGGGGTGGCTGCAATCGACTGCCCCCCCTCCGGCCCCAAGGGGCCCCCAAGAGCCCCCCAAGAGGCCCCAGGGGAGCCCAGTACGCCGCAAAGGAGCCCCAAGACGCTCCCAAGAAGCCCCCAAGAAGCCCCCAAGACGGCCCCAAGAGGCCCCAAATAGCGCTCCAGGGCCGGCGGAATGAGCGAAGCGATTAAATAATTGCATCACGGATGTAATCATGGGTGCATGCCGATATTCCCTACGACATCGTGTCAAGCCTGGATCTCATATGTGGCAGGCGCTGGCTGGCGCGTGGTGAACGCGCGCGCGTAAGCGTCAGGCGATCGATCAGGTACTCACGAATAGGTCAACAAACTCATGGATACGGTGGTTGATCAATTGGCATCCAGCCACGGGCCAATCGCGAGACAACACCTGGACAACCACGGGAGCGCCGCGCGAGACACCGCCATGGACAACTGCCGGACATCCGCACGAACCACCACGGGACGACAGCACGGGACAGACCCTGGACCATCCAGGGCAACCGCAGGACAACACCGGGACCGCCAAGTGGTCGCGCAGCGGGCGCGTGTAGGGAAGAATGTTTGATACAGCGGAGGCCAGTCCACAGGAAACCTTCCACAAGAAACCCAACCCTGAGATCCCAGGACGTCCACTGATTCTTGGTGGCAACGTCACGTTTTCCATCGCAAAACCATCGAAACCCAAGAAACCCAGCGCACCCTGGAGGCAAGCAGGGTGTTTCTTGGCATGGGCCCCCGCTGTAGACTGGGCCCTAGAAAAGACACGTTCCCTCTCGCCCTCGGGCCCATCCCGCAGCTTCGCCTCGCCCACACGGGCGACAACACCGAAATCGGCTTCCATATGGGAGCATTTCGCCTTACTCTCCAGTATCCGGCTCTTGGCGTTCTCCACCTTTGGGGCTCAGGATGGCCCCACGAAGGGCGTCAAGGGCCTCTGCAAGGGTACACGGGGCCCTCAGATGGCCCAAGAAGACCCCGCTAGTGGCCCCCCAACCTCAAGCTGGCCCCCAATACGGCCCCAGGATGGCTCCAATCTGGCCCAAGACCGCTGCAAGACTGCCTCTCGATGCCTCCCAGACGGCCCTAAGACAATCACATCCAGACCCCCCTCCCCCCGAAACGCCGAAAGGCCCCCAGCGGGCCCCAACAGAGTCCAAGATGGACCCCCAAACACCTCAAACACGGCCCCACCACATATACCCAAGCACCTCCCAAAACTGCCCTCTGACAAGAAGAGGGCAGTCCAATGCTTCCACCCTTCTATTGTAACGATATGCAGAATCTTTCGCCACCGCGCTGTGCGGCACCGAATGGAATGTTCCCAGGTTCCTTGAGGGGCTCTCTGAATCGAACCTGGCAAGTAGCACCGCGCAGTTGTGGATCAAAGTGAGGGGGCGGCGGGGTCGTTGGCACTCTGCGAGGCTGTGACGAAGCCCGCCGCAGGCGCAAATTTTTCAGAACCACATTGCACAACGAGCCCGCCGCAAGCGCCGAATTTTCGTCAAAACAATGTGGTTGGGTCGCGGGTGGGTCGTGGGATTGGTCGCGGAGTGGGTCGCTGGGTGGGTCGTGGAAGGTCGTGGGCGAGGACGACAACAACAACAATCTCTTTAAGACTGTTCGCTCTTATTTGCTCGCGTGCCAGTCAACATGTGTATCCCAAGCCCTCGATGCCCGCCCTCGTCGTCTTCGATCGTAGCCCCCTTGAGGTTATGTTTTCCTTACCTTCCACGTGTAGTTGGTGAAGCCCCAAAGCAGGGGAAGGAGGGGAGGGAAGCGACAAGGGGAAGGGGAGGGACAAAGATGGAGCACCAGAGAGGTCTGCAGGAGGTGGGTCGAGGGCAGGAGCATGAGCGGCAGAACCAGACGGGCAGCTCGGGCGGGCGGACCCTGACAAGCAGGTCGGGCGGGCGGGCCCAGACGGCCGGGTCGAGCGGGCGGGTCACTGAAGCGTCAATCCAACCACAAGGAAGTTTCGAGCGATAGCGCGATCCACAATTAAATCCTGAGGAAAGCGAGAGCGTGATTCCTGAGTCTTGCGGGCACGGCGGCGTCTGAATAAATTGAAAAACTACCACGCGAGTGCGCTATTCCTGTATAAGCTACGACGAAATCCCGCGCAAGAGCACGATTTTGAAATACCCTGTAAAGGGGCATCTGGCGGGAGCCGCTGTTACGCAGTCTAAGGAGGACGACTTTGCCTGGTAGAAAACAGGGTGCGAGCCCCTGGAAGAGCACCGTGTTTGGGAAAACATTCGGTGCACCGGGCAGGAGGGGTCAGCAGTCATGACTCTCTTGCGCAGTGTGTCTAGAGCTCCGACCACTTTGTTTCGGCACGGCACTGGTCCCCCCTCCGCCCTTCTCCTCCCCCGCCGGCGCGCCCCCTCCGTTCTGTCTCCTTTCTTTCGGCACGGCACCTGTCCGCCCTCGGTCCCCTTCCGCAGCCAGCAGCCTACCTCCCCCTCCCCCGCCTGCCAGCGCGTCCCCTTCGCCCCGATTCCTCTACTTCGGCACGGCACCTGCGCCGCGCACGCCACCCCCCATCTCCGCAGCCAGCTGCCCTTCCCCTCCCCCCACAAGCGCGCTCTCTGCGCCGCGCTCCCACCCTTCTGTTTCGGCACTGCGCCGGCACGTTGCCTCTTTCTTTTCGCACGGCACTGGCGTCGCGCACGCCCCCCCCCCTCCGCAGCCAGCCCGCCTCCCCTCCCCCCGCCAGCCAGCGCGCCCCGCCTGCCACGACCAATATCTTTTGGCACGGCACCGGCGCCGCGCGCGCCTCCCCCCATTCCGCATCCAGCCCACCTCCTCCTCCCCCACCAGCCATCGCCCCGTCTGCCCCGACCCTTTTGTATTGGCACGACACCAGCGCCGCGCGCGCGCCCCTCCCCTCGTCAACCTGCCCACCTCCGCCTCCTCACACCAGCCAGAGCGCCCCATCCGCCCTGGCTCAGTCTACTTTGGCACGGCACCAGCGCCGCGCACGCCCCCCCGCCCCCCTTCCGCAGACAGCCCCCCACCAGCCAGCGCGCCCACTCCGCCCCGACGCCGACATTCTGGCACGGCGCCGGCGCCGCGCAGGCCCCCTTCCCCCTTCCGCAGCCAGCCCACTTCCCCCTCCCGCGCCAACCAACGCGCTCCCTTCGGCCCGACCTTTCATTTTGGCACGGCACCGGCGCCGTGCACCCTCCCCTCTCCCCCTTTCCGCAGCCAGTCCACCTCCTCCCCCCCCACCAGCCATGCTCCTTTATATCGGCACGGCACCGGCACCGCGTCGGCCCCCTCTCCGCACCTCCGCCCCGACGCCGATATTCTGGCACGGCACCAGCGCCGCGCAACCCCTCTTCCCCCCTCCGCAGCCGGCCCACTTCCCCTTCCCTCGCCAACCAGCACGCGCCTTTCGGCCCGACCTTTCATTTTGGCACGGCGCCGGCGCCGTGCACGCCCCGTCTCCCCTTCCGCAGCCAGTCCACCTCCTCCACCCCCACCAGCCAAGCTCCTTATTTCGGCGCGGCACTGGCGCCGCGCTGGCCCCCGCCCCGCCGCCAGCCCACCTCCTCCCAGTCAACCAGCGCGCCCCCTCCGCCCCGACTCAAGTTACAACTCATGTTTCTTGGCACGGCACCGGCGCCACGCACGCCCTCCCCACCTCCGCAGCCAGCCCACCTCTCCATCCCCCCCACCAGCCAGCGCGACGTTCCACACCGACCCCAGCACGCCACCAGCGCCGCGCAGGCCCCCTTTATCTTCCCCTGCAGCCAGCCCGCCTCCTCCTCCTTCCCAGCGAGCCAGCGCGCCTCCATCTGGCCCGACCCCTTTTTATTTTGGCACGGCACCGGCGCCGCGCCAGCCCTCTCCCCTCCGCGGCCAGCCCAATCCTCCTCCACCGTTAGCCAGAGCGCCACCTCCGCCCCCGTTTCTTTCTTGCAGCACGGCACCAGCGCCGCGCCTGCCTCCTCTTCCCCCGCGAGCCAGCGCGCCCCCTCCGCCCCGACTCCTGTATTTTGGCGCGGCGCAGGC